TCGAGAAAATGGGAAGATGACACACGGGTAGGAACATATATCCAAAGTTTCAGCCTCCCAGCTTTCTTGGTTGTTGAGATGAAAGTGGGTGACAAAATGCACTCGCTTTCCGAATACACACACAGACAACCTGTGGACAATATGCGTTTTCACTGCACAGCAAAAAGGCATAAAAAGGTTGGTGCTGTTGAATGCCTACCATGTTCTTAATCATAGCAAGGGGAATGGATACCGCAAGATCTTTCCTTTTCAGGAAGTGCATGCTCCTGAAAAGAAGAGGGCGGTGTGGTGGTATTCCCTTCCACTTAGGTTTTGTTTTTTTAGAAGGTAATACCCTAATTTTTTTTTGTGCTTAGATGCTTCTAGCTTTGTTCTTGTGCTGCAAGATGAGGATTTAGCGAGCTAGATGGGGCGACGTTCCCTCTACACCACCACACCGCCCTCTTCTTTTTTTAGAAGGTAATATCCTCTACAAACAATTCATTCGTATCGATGGCAAGGTGATACTGACACATACCAAAGAGTTTTTAAGAAATTCTCGAAGAAAATAGCCTTCTATGCAATCCTCTAAAAAAGTAACCTGCTTCCGAATGATTCCTCCTCTCATGCAGAGCGAACACGAAAAGCTTTTGATTTCAGTTAACTCTTCAATGGTGTTCGCTAGTGCACTTTTTTTTTCAATACTGTCAAAAATGTTACATACAAGCCATGCCCAGAAGAGTCTGTCTTTTTGTTTGTCTTGTTTGTCTTCTCTCTTTCAAAAAAAAATTTCGTCAAAGTATTTATTTATTATTTATAACAGTTCTACCACTTATTATTTTGTCGCTTTATTACTTATACTTTTATTACTACTCACAGTAACTGCGTTATTGCTTCTGGAATAACACAGCAATTCTCGCAACAAACACTGAAATATTTACCAAGTGACTCATTAGGAAGATTTGTGACCCAGTCTGCGCTGGAACCAAGAAGACCATGCTGCAAAAACACCACCGGGCGCTTTCTCCTGAATACATAATCCAAGCTGTCTGAAACATCTTCAGATTTTTCGGACAATACTTTTTCAAAAAAAAAAAGTTTTCAGGGTTTCTAGGTATAAAGGTACCGTTTCTGCCAAATGGTATGCGATGAAGCTGCAAGATGTAACCATCGATAGTTAGCGCTTCAAATACCTGTACTGGATAACCATGATAAATTATTATTTCAGTCTGAAAATTCGTTTATGAACAAAACCAATGCACTTGCTTTTAACTGTTATCATGGGAAACTTGTTACTTGCTATCATTTGGTTTTACTTGATATTATGCGTTCTGTACTGCAGCAGTTGCACAAAACACATAAGTCGAAACTCTGTGGGTGCGCCTGTTCCGACCGCTTTTTATCCAAGGATTTCAACTAGGGAACCAAAGAAGCTAGAAAGCTGAAATTTTAAGAGGGACTTCCAAACAGCATGCGGTCTCGCAAATTCAGTCCAGTGTCCGTGCTCGCCTTGCAGTCACCCGGAAGTTTTGGCGCTCAAATTAATAATTAGAAAAGCACAGAAGATGGGAAGTAGAAATTTTAGGAGAGTGTCTGTTGCCCACATTTGAGCTCGTAAAGCCAAATTCAGCCTTCAGTTGCGCCAATATCTCATGCACAAACACATGAAATTTTTGGCGTGAAAATAATTAACTCGGTAATCTGAAAAGCTAGAAAGCCAAACTTTTAGAGGGTTTTCTTCCCCACATAAAACTCCGTAAATTCAGCCCTCGTATGTTTTAACCTCATGTGGGGACAAGTGAAATTTCTGGCACCAAAATTTATAACTTGAGAACCAAGTAAGAAACTGA